GAACAAGTAAATGAAGAAATTGATAATGCTATATTACCATTTCTTCAAACATTGAAATTTGTTTCCAATTGGAATGAATTCATAATAGATCAACGCAAAACTTTACCAAATGGATATGCAAATAGTGTTGATATATCGAATATACTTCGTTGGTCATTTACAAATGATGATAATCAATCATGGAAAATCTTGAATGGTACTTTTGCACAATCAGCAAATGTGATAGGCAGTGTATTTGGAATAAGTGCAGTAACTGTCAATGATATTTTAAAAATTGTTATTAGTTTTCGCAGACATAGTTTTGAAAATATCGAACAAGTCGAAATGATGAGAGATAAAATGAAACAAATTTTAATTGATGCTATTTTATTATAAATTAAATTTTTTTATTAAGAACTAACAATAAAATAAAAGATTTTTGTTTATAATTGATCAATGCGAACACTATTGCTTATTATCAATGATAGTTTAATGTTACGAAGATAAGCATGTAACGTACTTCACATTTTTAAAAAAGCAATAAAATACGTTTTTTTCGAAAATTCTTATCACTCTATTACTTATCTATTGATTTTGTTTTCATACGAGACGTTCGATACCTATTGAATAGGATTATAATCTAATATTTCTAATTGTTATTTGTTCCATAAAAAAAAACATTTCATTTTTTAGTTGATGCATGAATGCTGGCGTCATCTGTCTTTTGTGTTCGATTTCCATCTTACATTTCGTTTCGTTTATATAAAAATGAATGTGCTGATATCCATTCATAGGATTCGTTCGTATTTGTCTTTTCTCTTCACTTTATAATACGTATATAGAACATTGTTTGACCGCTCCATTCATATTATTCTCCTTTCTTTTTCAAGGTCTAAATATGATACGATACGATTATTTGCTTTGAAGGTTAACTTATAACACATTACTATTTTGATAAAATTTTCGTTAAATTTTAGATATACGAAGTAATAAAATACTAATAGAATGGTTAATGCATCATCAAAAAAACGTTCTCGTGAACATGATTCAAGTAGTGAAGAATCGGAATCTGAAAATGAATATCAAGTCGAAGCTATTGTCGATAAACGTACAAAAGGCAAAAAAATTCAATATCTTCTCAAATGGAAAGGTTATTCAGATGCAGATAATACTGTAAGTATACGAACATATTAATGATTGACATAGATTTAGTAAAAATAAAGGTGATTAATTAATAGCGTATAATTAAAGTCAAATTCTTTCAACATGAATTAACACATCAATTATTGTATGATAGTAAAAAGATGGTTGCTTTTTAATAAACAAATATAATGAGTTGTCCCTGAATATATGATCACGATTAAGGTCGAGAACAACAAAGTTTTTAATTTCTTCTGTTTTTAGTGGGAAGATAAAAATAATTTAAACTGTCCAGATTTAGTCAAAGAATTTGAAGATAGTTGTAAAAAGAAACCTAACGAACGAAAGTCGAATGGAAAAACTGAAGCAAAATCCAGAAAGAAGACAACAACAACAAAATCAAAAAAAGCTAAAATTGCTGAAAGTGATGAAGATAATCAAAGTGATGAAGAACCATCAATAAATAATGATAATGGTACAGAAGCAAATACAACTACTGATAATATTGATACTATTGAACAGAATAATACACATGATAATTCAAAAGTAAGTGATGTTGAACCATTGGCACAGTCACGTCTTCGATCGACTTGTAAGTTTTTAATTAATTCTAAAAACAATTCATTTTCTTTTTATTATTATTTAGCTAAAACTGAGAGTATAAATGGTGAAGTAACAAAAGAAAACGAAAAAGATTCTGATGCTCAACAAAATGAAACAATCAATACTGAAAATGATGAAACTAATAATAGCAGTATTGAATTATTAAATGAATCATCATCTCCAATAAAAGAAACTGTTATTGATGAACAAACAACAAATGAACCACCTGTAAATCTTCGTCTTCGTATAACACCTAGTTCAGCATCATCAATATCATTAGCATTAAATGATAGTGATAATAATAATAATACTAATGAAAAATCTTCAATGGACAATACAATGAATGGAGATGATGATCAAGATGCACCTGAAATAATAAATGATGATGAAGAATTAATTGAAAAAATTGAAGGTGTTAAAAATGATCAAGATGGAATATCATTTCGTGTAAAATTATCTGGCAAAAGTGAAACTCAATGGATGTCAGCTAAAGTTGCTAATCGAAAATATCCACAAACGGTTATTGCATTCTGGGAAAGTCATGTGGAATTTACATAAATACAAGAAAATATTCTGATGAACATTAGTCTTCTTTTTTTTTGCTTTTTTTTTGTATATATTTTGTATATGATAATTGTTATTAACTGTAGCATGTCAATTAATAGAAGTATTATTTGTTGTTATTTCACTTTAGACAACGTCTTATTTGTAAAAGTCGGTCATTTTTTTTTGAAAAAAAAACATTAGTAGGAAAACTTTCTTTACATTTTTTGATTAGACATTTTAATTTTGTTAGAACAAATAAAGAGATTTTCAAGAACTATCATCTAATATCGAATTTATCAAGGTAAAAGAGAGTGTGGGTGTGAATGCAGATAATGGAGAACACCTAAACCTACACCCTCTCCTCCTTTTTTAGTCGACAATACATTTTCAAAAGACCACAATTCGATGCAGAATTAAATTCTACATCCATCACAACCTTTTTTTTTCAACAGAGCACAAGCTCAGAAGCGGATACTAGTAAGAAATACTCGAATGTGCTGATAAATTTCGTTACGTAAAACATTGAATATGATAAAATATCTGCTTATTATTGATTATTTATAAAATTTACCTTGAGTTCATACTTAATGCCTTCAAAGTATTTCATATAGATAAAATTTTGTCTTGATATAAAAATAAGATCTAATTTAAAAGTTATTTTTGAAAGTTAAATCAATTTCCGACTAATTCATTATGAAGTTATATGGTATAATTAATTCCACAGGTTATGTCACCAGCCGTCATTAGTATCATCAAGTACATGTTTGAATAAAAAAGATCCTTTTTAATCATTAATATTTTTTACGAACAACAAAATTTCTTCTTCTTTTGATGATCTATTAATGTACACCTTCATACAAACACCAAAACTAGTGAAATTTTCCATTTCTCTCAAAACCTAAATGGTTTCTTACGATGTACTTCATACTTAAATTAGTTATACAATTTATAAATTGTTCAATAGTACTTTTCTATGTTAGTGACGAAATAACAACAGTAATATTTTTTCAAATTGATATATCGTATTTATCTTATCGTTTTACAGAAACTGCTAAAAGTAAATTACCATTTCTCATCTAAGAATAACTCAAGTTAAATAAAGCAACAAAAAAACATTTTTTTTTATCAAAAAATATATATAGATAAAAACGGATGTGATAAAACGACGTCATTCCTGAGGAAATAATTCATAGTTATATTGAGCTAGAACTGCCTATCGCCTTTGTACTTTTTTAATAAAAATATTTCTTCTGTTATTGCATCTAATTTTATTTTCATAATCTTTGGTTTACAACGTAAGACAAAGATAAAATGCTCATGTAATTGATGGATTTATGCAAATCATGATATATCTTCTGTTCTATTGTAATCTTAGATATTTAAGACTTCAGCTAATACCTTTCAGAATAGTCAACACATGACATTGTGACTATAGAATAATTTTGAAAACTTCTTTCAGCAAGTAGATTATGATCAGCATGAGATCAGTATAAAAAATGAGTACATCATTGTATATTAATTTATAAACAGTCCATTTTTCTGCAATAAAAAATAAACAATTAGTTAATATCCACTTCAAAAATACTATAAAAACCTTTGTTTTTCGCGTTTTTTCTAGAAGAAATGAAGTCGTAAACTGTATTTTTATAATTAAAATAGTTTGTTAGTAGTAGTAGTCAGAAATGAAATGTTCCTAGTTTTGTGACTCTTTTTCTGACAGTTCTAGAACACTCCTGACAATCAACAGATTCATATGCTATCTATGACAGACATACTATTTTTCTAATAAAAAGCTGGAGAGAATATTTTTCATGATTGTGTAGGTGCTAGTGGACAGACTGTTTCGATAATCAAAAATACTTCAAAGCATTTTATCATTTCTAATTAGAATATAGTTGAAAATTTTTAATTAATACTGAGATTACACTGAATCTATTTTTATTGTATCAGGTCAATGAATATAACTCACAATAGTTAAAAATCATTGTTAAATAATATTTTCAAGATACAAATATACATAATCAACAGAATAGAATTATCCAATGGCTGATAGTAGTGAACAACTTCAATTAATCAAATATTTATTACTACAAATTACAATAGGTCCGGCAATAATATGTGATTGTTTTGTCTTCATATATTTTATTCGTCATTGGAGAAAAGAGATTCTTAAATCACCGCAGAATCATGCCATCTTCTGTTTACTTCTGTTAAGTTTTATAGAAAAAATTACTGATGCAACTTTCCTCTTATATTATCTTCGATGGAGTGTGGTTCTTCAGCAAACAAATATATTTTGTGCGATGTGGAATTGGTGTGCGTGTTCAATTTTGTGTATGACATTATATGTTTTAGCATGGTGTTGTATTGAAAGACATTTATTTGTTTTCAATACTCAACTGATGAAAAAGCAATGGTGTTTAATCTTATTTCATTACATACCTCTGACTATATGTTTATTATATCCACCACTTTTCTATTTTGTTAACATATTTTTTCCAACAACGTGTATAAGTTCATGGGATTATACACTTATACTTTGTGGAGGTCCATGCTATTCTTTTTCGGATCCTCTTTTAGGTAGTCTTGATTGGTTAATTCATGCTGCTACACCAACTTTTATTGTTATTCTTTTAAATTTTCTTCTTTTCTGTCGTGTTATATGGCAAAAGATCAAACGACAACAACCAGTACAGTGGAACCGTCAGAGACGTATGATCATTCAACTTGTTTTCATTTCGACAGCGGTTTTAATCTGTGTTTTCCCGGCAGTAATAGTTGGTGTTATTCAAAGTTTAGGGTCACCAAACTTTCTTTTCGATATTCAATTCAATTACTTCTATTATATTATATATTTGATTGATGAATTATTACCATTTACCATAGTTAGTTCATTACCTAAAATGCACAAAGAATGGAGACATTGGATTCATCGTGTGAAAAGATATTTTCATAGCCGGATACGAGTAGAACCAGGCTTATCAATGACGATACAACATGGAAATGGTAGCACCGTTTGATATACATGACACAAAGTTCTTTACATATATATTTGAGAGTGTGGATGTGAATGTCAGCTGATCATAGTACTGTCATACCTTACCCAATATTTTGTTGTTCTAGTTTTCTTAGATTAATGTACTTCATTATTTTCTACCAGAACCTCTTCATCAAATAAATCTTGAGGGTGTGGGTGTAGGTACTAGAATTATCTTTCATTCACCTTAAAGTTAGTTATAGTCATATGTTCCTGTACAATAAAAAAGTAAAAATGTATAATTATATGATACGTCTTTTTTTCAAGTACTTCTAAAATTATAAAAAATACATATTTCTCATACAATATCTCTTTTTCCAGATGTTTTCATCTCATGAAAAGACATTGTTATTAATTGAATACAATAAACGAACTGATGGGTATGCGTTGGTATGCATCTTTTATTCCTCTCTTTCTAATACCATACATAATGACGTTTCTGTTTTTACTTACAATTCTAATATTCTTTCTTCTGTTATCTACCCGTTATCATCATACTAGCAGTATTTCTTGTTGCAAACTTTATTGCGTATACATATTCAACTGTCCGTTGCTTATAAGTCTGACGAATAAATATTTATTCCGTTTTAAACATAAACTATGTAAATGTCAATCAATATAAATAGAACAGATATACATAAAAAAAGATTAGTAGAGAACTGGAATATGATGAATAATTTCATTTTTTCATCCGATAAGAATTGCATACGTAAAACTGTGTATACGTATCGCTCATTTCTGAAACATACCAAATGATCCCTGTACTATTTACCGTTTTTTAAATCTCTTATCGCTATCAATATAACAATTGTAAATATGAAGTTTTATTACATTAAATAAACATATCGGAACATCTCTTATCTGCGTTACAAATTCTTTTTTTTATTCTCGTGAAAAAAACAGAGCGCTTTGTCGATATATATATATAAGAGCATATTCTACCTGTTTTACAACAATTATATTTTTACATTTAATCACCTTCAACATGAACAACAAAGTTCTCATCAGTATTACATTCTTACTAGGTTAACATCCACTATTGAATTATATATTATAAGTTAGAATTGTTTCTCGTTTAGTTATTGCTGGAGCAACAGCTAGAGAATGTTATAAATGTACTGCATGTCCGAAACCATTCAAAGGAAATGAAGCAGGTGTCCCTAAAGTCACTGTCGACGCTAACAATTATTGCAAAGTAAATTCGAAATTAAAAAGATTCTTCTTCAATAACTATATAATTTCTTCTAGAAAACAATTCTTCCTGTTGTTAATACTGAAAGTCGAGACGATGGAGGAACTGATTGTAAACCTGCTGATAAATATACATTCTGTTGTAAGGGTGACTTATGTAACGGAGCAACAACAGGCACATGGAGTGCTAAACTTTTGGTAGCAGTAGCTAGTCTATTTTTTGTCGTACAATACTTTCATTAAATAACGCTCTGTTCTTTTTTACTCTTTTCTTTTCATGTGATTAAAATTTTTTTGCTTAATAAATCTATTGTATGAAACCTGAATCTATATAATATTAGTCCTTATATCTTTACCTCTACTAAACGTTTTGAATGAATATATGCACATAATTACCAAATATGACGGTATATTTTTAGAAAAGACAGCTATTATTTTGTTGTACGTTCTATAATGAAGATGATCATATATTATATTATACTGACTAGTAAACTTTAAAAAAAGAAGATGCAGGGCTTCTCATTGAATATCATGTAATATTTGTTTATATTTCATACAATTACTAAAAAAGAAATTGACAATCTAAAATCATCTTGGAAACAAGTACAAGCTGTATTTGTCGCTCGCCCACATATTCATACTTACACTCATAATAAATATAGAGATATCGTTTTTGGTAGAACTTCATTTTAAAGTGAAATAGTTTCAAGAGTTTCTTCAAATGAGCTGTTTATCAGCAACGAGAAGTTTCAAAAATAGCCTGTGATTGAGAATAAATACTAACTGAAATATCTACATTAGATCTTGTTTATAGAGCATTATTTAAATATATTATTATAGTTATTATGAATACAAAAAATGAGTCAAGTATTCTTTAAATTATTTATACTTCTAATTTTGTACTAAAGAATTTGAATATTTGATAGTCATAAGCTGTTTAAGTTGTTCTCATGAATTTTCTTTTTAGTATCGTCAATTAGATTTTGAATAGCAGTTATTTTTGCTTCATTGAGTGTAAGACCTTTTTCATAGATATCTATCGTGAGTGTGTGTGTATGAGTGTATTTCAGTTTAATACAATAATGGACTTTTCACATTTTTGCAAAAAAAAAAGAATTCTCTTTCTTTTCATAAGAATTTTGATGAAAAACAATTTTTGTTCCTAAGTCTAAGAAAGAAAACGAAGAAGAAAATTCGGATGACGGAGGATAGAGTTACAATTATACAAATATTATTTTGATATATTTCATTAATTTAATGATACAAAAGTAGGATTTACAACTGCAGATGTGAATATGTATCTCGTTTCTAAAGAATAGATGACGTATTATTTGTTAACATAATAATTGAATAATAATATTATCTCATGACTTTTCTGCATTTTTATTTTCTTGATTTTTTTAATAATTCTAGATGTGTAACGGAATAACCGTAAATAAAAAACAACTTCCCGGTGTTCTTCAATCACCTAGAGCACGTAAAATTGTTGTTATTTCTTATCAAAAATGGATCTATTATGATGCACGTCGTTTTGGTCATTTTAATCGATTCAGCACCGATAGTGGTTGTGAAATAATTTCAAATAAGGGTGTGGGTGTAGGTATAGGGAATACAGAAGAAGAGACTCGCACCAGCACTAATATTCAGCCACCAACACATCCAGACCGTTATGCTTTAGTTACTTTTTCTAAACCATTGAAATGAACAAATGCTACGGCTGAACAGCGCATAACAGCTTCATTCAGTGCTGCTTGTCGATTTCCATGTTCCCATATCATTCTACTGGTCTCAATTGGATTACGAAGATATCCATGACTGAAAACAACCTAAAATGCATGATAACCAATACCTAAATTCTCTTGTCTCATTTAAATTAAAAGTATTAGACTACACTAAATTACTTGTTGTATATTAGCGCCTAAACCCATTCTTGCAGAATTATTCAATTCTGGAAAACCATACTCAATCCATCTCTTTAGTTTCTTAGCAAATATTCTTTCATCACCATTTCCTTCTACTAATGTCTCTAAAATTAATATCCATTGATCTGTATCGTCAGTCCAATCGCCACGCTCCCATCGACTAGATTGTCCAGTTAATTTATAATCTGGAAAAGGAATAATTTTTGAACGATCTGAATAATTACTTGCAACTGTTTTGCGTTTTTCAAATTCACTCGATAGATCATATGCACAAGCAAGAAGACGATTAATTAAACCATTATCATTGTAATCCATTAATAAACGTTCAAGTAAATCTGGTTCATTAGGACTGTATGGTATATTTGAATTAATTTCATGTTAAAATTAATACAATAAATATGATTTTTTTTATTGAGTTTTATCAATAAATGAAAGTATACTTTTTCGACGTTACACTTGTCCTATTTTCCACAGTTCTTCTACGATTTGTACACGAAGTAAAAGTGTTGCCCATCATTAATGACTATAATCCTGAAACGAACTATTATAGAAGATATTATAGTTATTTTCGAAAATCAAACGATATCTATTCATAAACTTAATATTTATCAAATAAATTAAATTAATAAACTCAACAGATTAAATACTCTTCGAACGATGAAATTTCTTTCTCTAATTGCTCTCAATATATTTTTAGTTTGAAATTATGCACACAAGACTTTTGAAATATAAAATGCCGAATTGATGATTAATAGAGAAAATTTTAACAAAATTGTTGTGAAGGAGCATGAACAGGTATATGTCCTAATTCAAATGTATCACTTTCAAAAGCAGCACGTTCATCTGCAAGAAGTTGATCATCTGCTGTATAATTTGTTAATTCTACATTAGAATTTGCTGTTGTAATATGATTATCATCTTTCATATCAATATCACTTGATAATGTTATCGATGGTTTATGATTACTTGCAACGTATTCTGCAATATGTTCTTTCTAAAATACAAAAGAAAAAGAAATTTTATAAATAATTAAAAACAACTCTATGTCATATATATATATATACATACAAGCAGTTTAACAGTATCAATACGAAGTTTTGATAAACCAAGAAGTTCACGTTGAGTATTTTCCCAATAATCGGAATATGCTTTTTTCTAAAAATAATTTAAATATCACTTTGAAGATAGTTCATTTCCACAAACATATTTATGTTCTTCGCCAGTATTACTCATGCATCGATGTGCCCATCTCATTTCTTCGAATGAATGATCCGTCCAATCTAAAAAGAATTTATTATTGAAGAAAAAAAAATCAAAAAAAAACTCTTTACGTTCTAAAGGACGTCCACCAGGAAAAAGTGATCTTGATGTAAATCGCCAAAGACTTGTTTTAAGCCATACTTTCGCTTCATTCTGCATTTGCACTCTAAGAAGATAAATTATATGAGATAATTCAAATCAAATTTACTTACAAGATATCAAATGCTTTCATTTTATCTGCATAATTTTCAATAATCCATTTAAGAATTGCAGATGTTGCTGGATTTGGGACATTAGGCTTTACATGTGGATATCGACATTGATCGCCATATCGACAGTTACCTCGTAAATAATGTTGGCAAACCGAGATATTAATTACATGCGGATATCGACATCGATCTCCAAATCGACACCTACCTCGTAAATAATACTGGCAAAGCGACATATTAATTACGCTATACTTAAATAGATCTACAAATGAATATAAAATATAAATAAGATTTTAATATTTCAATATATACTCTTCAATATAATGTTATAACCAGGGCTCCGCATAGGATCTATGATTGCATTTTTTAAGAAAAATATTAGTCTGAATAAAGGTTGCATTTGACAAGCGGTAGACATCAGTAATATATTCGTTGCTTCTCTATATTGGTTAATAATCTTACTCCAAATACTATCAAACAAATAAATAAAGAATTATGATAAAACTAGAAAAACAGAAAAAGAAATCTAAGTATGTTTTTAGATCAGTATTATAAAATATTTCATTATCTTTCGTTATAATATTTATTCAATATCATTTGTCTTTGACATTACTTTATATTTATGTATATGATTACTTATCTTTTTTGCTGATAATCAAAGCTTTTGTTTGGTTTTATTAAGAAGGAATATGAGGTAAAAAGAAACACAAGAATATCTAAAAGTTCTATTTCACTTGTCTTTATTTGTTGCAATCAGGTAATGTCTTACCTCGAATGTACAAAGAATAGAAAGATTTTTTTATTGGACTGATTGATATTTTCAACAATATCAGGATCACAAGCAATCATTTTAGGATACTGGTCGCAAAGATATCAACTAGACGTAGAAAATTTTTAAGATATCTTAAGTTTGATTTATCTCATATAATGAGTACAAAACAAGTAATAAACTACTCTTTATATATGAAAGAAAAACAAAAAAAAACCCACATAATCTATTACATGAGTCATATTTCTCACATGGTTTTTTCATAAAATAGAATGAAATGTTTTTTTTTGTTAATAAATGATTTAAAAATAAAAGATGTGTATTACACGATTAATTGAAGATTAAAAAAATGCGATTAGTTTTAATTTGCTTTTCTTTCTTTTACAAGAAAAATTTACAGACCACTGGGATTTAGGATTCGATATGATGAAGGGCATGAAAAACCCAATCGACACGTGTTTTTACACTTGACTTATATGAATCAAGTAAAACTTGTTCAAATCGATCACATGCTTCTTGTTCATTAGCGCCAAGATCAATAGCAAATGTATGTCGAAGATAAGCCATATCAGCTTCGCCATTTAATTCAGTTAAATCGCAATTCATCATTAATTTAAATAAACAAACAATTTGACGATATTGACGACGAAGAATACGATAACCGTTGATACATAATTTTTTAAAACTAAAATAAAAAAAGAGAAAAACGTACACATTACAATTTAATATAATATGAGAATTGACACATACTTTCTAAATTCGCGTGTTTCAATTGGATTCGTATCCGTATTATTATTCGTTATGACTCGCACAAAATCATCAATAAGTACTAATTTTGTACGTTCACGTCGTATACCATATTTCTTTTTAAAATTTCCTAATATATGTCCAAAATTAATATGAAATAACTACGAAGACAAAATAGATTAATCAATCAAAATATATTAACTTACTTGACCACGTTCAGTAACCATAATATTATCTGGATAACGATCAGCAGCACCAAGAACATATGTTATAACACAATAACCAGCACATGATCGTGTGAATAAATCAATGGCACTTTTTAATCTTAAATAATATATCGTTTTTGAAATTTAAAGTTTCCTTTTTTTAAATCAATAAACATACTCGTCAGCACCAGGGTTGTTTTTGGCGATCCATCGATAAAGTGCACTAGCGTCAAATTGAAATTGTCCTTTTAAACCATCTAATCTTTGTATATTCATAATTGTTTTAGAATTTTTAACAACTTCAATTAAACCTGAACAATAACCAGTAGCTAAACATCCATATGGTAAAAGACTTACAAGAAATAAATAAATTTTTAATTTCGATTTAAATATGACAATAATTCATACCTTAAATCAAGTCCATCACCTTTCCAAATAATATCTATCATTTGAATAAATTGTAATGCTAACATATCTTGTCGAAGATCTAAAAAAAATTATTTTTTTTAATTTAATTAAATAAACATTTAAAAATTCTACCATCTCCATTTTTAAAAATTAAATCAAATGTTGGAAAATAATGTTCAGCATATTCAGATCCATTTGTCCAACGTAACCATAAAGGTCGTCGAGCAGATGACATTATTCGACAATGTTCTAAGCTATAGAATAATAGATTATCGTTTATTTATTCATTCATTGATTCTTTAATCAAAATCGAATCTTACTCAAGTTGACCAAGTTCAATATTATGATCAACAGGTGATCGAAAATATTGAAGATTTTGAGTATAATTTTCTCTTGTGAGTAAATTAGCAAAATAATCTTTCTAAATAGAAATATTTTCATATTAAGATCTTTTTTTTTCTTTCGTTGAAAAACTAACTTGATTGTACAATTCATCATGTGTACTATTTTGTATAGTTTCAGCAATAAATGTTAGCTTATCTACAGTTCGTACTTGTCGTCCAAGAACTTTAGCATATTCACCACAATAACGTAAATATGCTTCTAATAAAAGACCAAATCGTACTTTATATTGAGGATTTTTAATTTCAGCTCTAAAAATTGTTCAATAAAATTAACTCTAATAAATTATAAGATGAATTAATTGTACTTTGAATGCCAATAGAAGAAATGTCCGACTTGTTGATTTAATAATGAACGTTTAAGTAAAAATCTAGCTAAAGCACTATCATGATAGGGTTCATTTTTAACAGCCTAAATAGAATTTTTGAAAGAAAATTAAATCTTTAATTATTATTTACTTGTACAATTTGTAGTATAACAGGTAATAGTCGATCATCATCAATACGTGTATCCAATAAGCGAACAGCTGAAAATCGAACAAATGGATCAGGATAATCAACATCAAGTAATTCCAGTGCTGTCATTAATGGATCTATATTTTTTGTTGGCCAATTTTGAACAACTTTATAAGCCTAGAACAAAATTTTTTTTTTTTTTAAATAAATACTGTAATAGTTTACTTCAAGAACATCATCACGTTTTGACCAATTAACACATTTAAGCCACCGAGGTAATGCTTCTGGTACATGCATACATTCATAACTGTATGAAAATAAAATTGATATTTATGTAAGAAAAATTAGAATAAAATTTACCGTCTATCCCAAAGTTCTGCTCGACTTTGTTCAGTCAATTCAAATTCAATTGAACGAAGCCAATCATAAAAATCAGTATCTTCTTCTGTTTCTTCCAACTAAATTATATAGAAACGAAAAAAAATCGGAATCAATTTTTATATTATTACATCTTCTTGAAATGCACATGAACGTAATTATTGCTTAATTTTTGGTTGAGCTTGCATAGCTAGACCATTATGTGGTGATAATGCTGCTATTTGATATTCATAACTAGGAAATTCTAGTTCAATTGTTGGATAAGATCGATCCGGATTTATACCTAATAAGAAAGATCTTTGTTCTTATAAGTGAATTTCAATCAAACAAAACAAACCTGCTAAAGCTCTTTCATTAAAACCATACATAGATGCCGTAGTTTTGCTATTATTTGTTTCTGTTGGCCAAAATCGTACTTCTTGTCTTCCTTGTATAAGACAACTATTATGATTAAATATATTGAGATTTGCCCATCCAATACAGATCCATTTATCCTAAAGAAAACTCTTTTTTTTGTATTTTAATATGAATTAAAAAAACAAGAGATTTTACAGAAATTAATAATGATTTTCGTCGTCGATGAAAATGTATCGAACAACACAATTTACTAGCAGGTGGTAAATTAACCAATGTTATATTAAATTTAATTTCTTGTTGCCAATCAGGATTTGATGTATCAACGCTTCGACTTTCTATAATTGAACCGGGAAATAATGGTTGGGTATCATGATATAATCCAATAATAATTTTAACCTTAAAAATTATAATAAGATATATTTACCTTATATTAAATAACATACTTCATCAAATTCATCGGCAGGAATCAATTGACCAGATAGAATACGCAAAGAAAAATATCTACATGCAATATCTTTTTCATTTGCAACTTGACGAATTTCATTACTTCGTCCACCAAATTCTTCAGAAACATAAATTAACTTTCAGAACAAAAAAAAACAAATTATGAATACTTTGTGATTTTTTTCGTTCTACTTCTTGAATCATTGCTATACATCGTTTTTTACCATTACCAGTTGTATTTTCAATATTAGTTAATTTAAAATATAATGGTTTATCAAGACGAAGACATGTTTGAACGTACTAAATAAATATGATTTATTCATACAAAAATATCATCTGAACGGGTGTGGGTGTTAATGAGAGCAAAGGAGTCTATAATCCATACACCCACACCCACAAGATTGATATATACTATCAAAGATCTTTCTAAGACTCACTTTTCTAATATTCTTTGACATACATCAATAATAAGAAACAAGAACTGAATTAGTAAATTATTTAAATAATCATTCTTACATGTGATTGTATTAATGGTTTAGTACCGAAAAGTCTTTCTTCACATCCAAATGCTTGTAACCAATAACGTGATCTATATTGTTTGATTATTTCCATTCTTTCTTCATTTATCATTGTTGGATTATAAGCTGATAATTTTGATGATATCACATTAGCAACAATATCAATTGGTGAAGAATATAAACTACTCGAAAGATTAAAACATATAGGTGAAGTTGAATGCTGTTCTTGCACTTGCACAAATACTGGACGAATGTCTAAAAAATATTTTAAATTGATAGATTATTCTTATCTATATCATTTGATTAAAAAAACCTGAAATAAGACCGAACTGCTTTAATAAATTTTGTGATTTAACAGGACTTATTTGTTTATCATCGATATCATTTTGTTCTTGTACAAGCGTATCAACTAAACGATTTAACAATGAACGAGCTTCACATGCTTCACCTTCTAATGTGCTAGCAAAATCATCAAGTGGAAAACCCAAGAGAAGATCTTTTGATGGAATATAAACTAAAATATTTATTAAGTAATTATTCTTACTCATCAATGCTAAATCATCTTTTTCATCAAGCAAAGCATCATATTCAAGTAAACTCAAAGATTCATCAACGAGACTAAAAATAAAGAGAAGAATTAACAAAATCAAATTTAAGTAACAAGGATCATTTGATCTCTTTTCAACAATAAAAAACCATAGACCTCGATGGTAATTCAATTCTCACTTCAATTTGTTCAATTTAAGTTGTTCATCATAGAATGCAATGACTTGTGCACTTGATGTTAATGTATTATGTCTTATTTTATCTAATGTCAGATCCCTAAATACGAGAAAGAATAAAGCATACATTACTTAGTAGACAAATAAAATCAAGGATAATTTACTCTTCGCATTCTACAACAGTAACACAACTATTTGGATGTGATGTATCAACTACCATTTTCTTTCGAACCGACATCTAAAAATATGTTAGATATATAATCATTTTAACGAAAAATCAAAATCGAAGCAAAAAGATTTTTTCTTTGTTTTAAATTAATAAGAGTCTTCTAAGAGATTCTGTGTCACATATTCATTCATTTAAATTGTTTTTTTATATCGGGTTTTATTTTGGTAAAGATGTTGTTGAATTATTATCAGTATTATGATTTCGTGCCATTTCTTTTTCTTGAACATGTGCAAATAAACTTGAATCATATATGTTTGTTATATTCTGTCTTTTTAGACAAGCACAAAATGAAAACTTACTTAATAAACAAGATAAAACTGATGTCTCTTTTTTTTAATTTCTTGCAATAAGGTTTCATTTTTCAGCATCAGTCTTTCATAAACATGTGTTTACAATCTGGATTTTTTTATAAATACTCATCTACAGATAGGCTTTTTCCGCTATAGCAAATCTTAAAGAAACTCGACCAGAAAGAGTCTGAAGTTATGATCAAATTGACGTATCTAAAAAACAAGCAAAAAATTATAGAAGGTGTTAGTATTACGCTTATGCACCACCCCTACTTGTTGCTGTAGCAATAAAAGAAGAATGGATAAAACTTTATTAGTACAGATAAGAAACTTCTTTCAATTTATCATGCCAATATTTTTGAAGAACATTCTGTCAGTTGTAGAGTAAAGATAGGAAGAAACTGATCGACAACTCTTCAGAATCAACAAAATTTTGTGCTGTTCGACTAACGCACTTTATACCAGTGGCGGATTTAGGGGGGGGGCGATGAGGGCGATCGCCCCCCCTTCCGAATTTTTTTTTGATTTTTTACAGCAAAAATGAACGAAAAAATAGGTTCACACTACTTCAATTGAACTCAAAAAATAGCTTTTAACCAAAATCGCCCCCCCTGGTATCGCCCTCCATACTCAAAAAAAAATCCCCCACCCCCTCCCCAGGTATCGCCCCTTCATACTAAAAAAAAAAAAATCCCCCACCCCCTCCCCTGGTATTGCCCCTTCATACTCAAAAAAAAAAAATTTCGCCCCCCTCTTCCAAAATCCTAGATCCGCCACTGCTTTATACTCTATACAAAGGGAAAAATCTCACATTACTTTTACCACCAACGTGGCTGTATGAATCAAAGTAAACGAAAAAAAATATTTTGGAAGGCATTATTCTCGTTTGCTGCTTGGCATCCAGCGTCACAAATAAAAGACGAATGTTGTTTTTCATTCTTTTCTCTCGCATTTGTTTGTAGAGTATATTAAGAAGGCGAAGAAAACTAATGGCTGTCGTACTTTATTCCATGTATGAACAAAAAGAGAGGACGAGGGCGAAAGGTGTTTCACAGTTATGACTTTCGCGCATTTTCTTTCGTTGAAAAGCCGTTCGCTTAAATGATTTTCGCTCTTCGCTTTAGTAAAACATATAATCTCTTTCTCTTTTGCTGTGTGAGGGTAAGTGAGGGCGTGAGAGGGGACGTGCCTATAGATATATTGATAATCATTCATGATGACACTCTTCTTTCGTTTACCTCATCTTCATATATTAAAACTCAGATCTTCAAGATGAACAAAATGCAAATAATTGACTTTTCGTGTTTTTCTATTCGTTGAACATCATACATATGAAGAATTAAAATCATTATTAGATATTACTCGTATGACATTTAATGTTGTAACTGGTATTAGTTATGAATCTGAAATAAATGGTATAAGAGCATTTCGTACAATTGAACAATGGTGTTCTTGTTTAAGACAAGCAGGTTTTGAAGATACATTTATTTATGATGAACAAGAAGATGATCCAACAGATGATATTAGATTGTATTTCGTAAACCAGAAAAACAAGATATAAATGAAATAATTCAAACTGGAAATTTTCGAAAAATAATCGCAACTCCAGAAATAAATTATTTTCGACCATGTGAATGGTTTAATGGAAGTAAATTAATTGATGTTTGCAATTTATAACTATCAACTAATGCATCAATATAATCAGATGAACAATCAGATAAAACTGAAGAACGTGCTGGTATTTCATATTCTTCAACTGTTGGACCAAAACTAACAGAACGGATTTTTAATAGATTTCGACGTTTATTATCAAGATCTTCATTATTTATTTTATTGAAAGCAATAGAAATTGATTTTTCTTTTAATGATGTTAATTCATCGTCATATTCATTTGAAGATGAAGATTGTTGTTCTTCATTATCTTTTGTAGATAATGATTTATCAATATGTTCTATTTCTTCATGTTCCATAGAGTGTGTACAATCAGATGAGGAGGATGAATTGATCTCATCATTTTTAGTTTCAGATATTTCATTAGATGTGAATGTCATTG